ATATTGTTATTAAGGCTATGCATTAGATTCTCTAAGCCCCATTTACTCAAACAGGAGGCTTCATCTGAACCATGTTGATTATTCTTTTATGAATATCATGTTGCCTTTATTACACTAATTCTAAGCTTTCTTTATTGAGGTGCGATATTCCAACTTCTTCTATAATACAATATGGCTATGGTTATTGAATGAAGCTTTATTATATATAGGTGAGTGTGCCTTTCATTTTAATATTTTAATTGTCTTTTTTCATGCGAAGATTGATTTGTATCAAGCAGTACTTTCAATTAGTGGAATTAATAATAACTGTTCAATGTAAGAGGGAGCAATACATTGGTAATATTAGTAATGCCTTCAATAAGAACTGTTCTCCTAATCAATTACTGATTTTCCGTTTAGGTTCTGGCAAAAACATCTTCAAAACAAATGAATGACTCTATAGATGAAATTTTCTTGCTCTCTTTGAACCAAATCCAACAACATGGCCAAACACAAATATTATTGCAAGTAAGTGAAGCAATTGTACGATTTTATAGATGAGAATGTGAATAGTTCAGGAACGGGATCTTCGAGCAAGGATAACCCTGAAGAATGCTACTTTAATACTACTAAAAGTTCAATATTTAGTAGACGTTTAGATGATTATTGTAACATTACGGAAGAATCATATGATAATTTTACTTTAGCATTTTACGAGGTTAGGATGAAATTCTAAGGAGTTTCTTAGTAAGATAGATGGATTTAGAGACTTTCTGGATGTATTCGTTTTAAACCGCTAACTACAATCCTTTACGAAGTTGCTTTGTTTTCTGATGATTTAATTATCCTTTCTCTCGAGTTTCTCTTCTCTTCGTATGCTTTAACTTGATAATTCTCTTATTTATTAGTTAATTTATTGACGTTTCGATCGATGAAATCCATCTTCTTCAGAATAAAATAGTAAGTGAATACAGAAAAGGTTGTTTTACTGATGACTCATCCAATTGCCAATTTTTTCTTTATTTTCTTTAACAGTATTATATTACAGTATTGGTACGGACACCTAAATATCAAACAAAAGAAGTTCTAGTATATAGCGTCCTTTCCGTACCAGTACTGTAACATTCATAAAGAAAATAAAGAAAAAACTGACAATTGAATGAATCGTCAGTAAAAGAACTTTTTCTGTATTCATTTTCTATTTTATTCTGAAGCAGATCGATTTCATCGATCGAAACGTCAATAAATTTACTAATAAACAAGAAAATGATCACGTTAACACATACGAGGAGGAGAAAATATTATACACAATCACAATAATTGAAATCAATTAACCCTTCTAAGGGGTTTATGACAGTGCAACATATAGCAAACCCTTTAAGGATTTATGAAATTTATCAACCCATTCATAAACCCTTCAGAATCAGTTTCAGCAAATCATAAACCCCATATTCATTCCTTTTTTTTTAGGGTTTATGAAAGGGTTTATAAAGGCCTCAAAGACCCTTTAAAAGGGTTTGTGATACGTTGCACTTTCATAAACCCTTCTTTCGTTTTTTATGCTACGGATATTTTTTACAGTGTAGTCCAAAGGTTTAATTTTTACAGACGTTCTGTTCAGCGGCTAATGGTTCGTTGGCGCCCCTATGGGTCGCCACTCACGGCTAGCTTTTACCATGTTATAATGTACTTCGTAGATAAATTCTCATTTCCTACAGATAATTAACATGATTTTGATCTCGCCTATTTGAAAAGGCTGTTTTTCTAAAGACTAAAGAAATATTTGCTGATACGACATACCAAACGGCCTAGCTGAAAGTCTGATCTGTGCGTTATTATGTACATTTGGAGCAGCGTCCTGGCCGAAAAAGAGTTAACGGGTGGAATAAAAGTAGTGTATGGATCTGAGGCGTATGCAGCACTGTCTCGAAAAAGCTTCTACTCAGCGGCTAGTCGTGAGTGGCGCCCCAGAGGGATGCCAATCACGACTAGCCGCCACTATTCTCTGCTGCACTGTATCGAAACAATCAAACCACAGCATTTCGAAAACTTAATCGCGAATTCCAGTTTCCCGGCCTCCATTATCTTCAGTTAAACTTTATAAAAAAAAGAACCGTCCTTTTCTTTAAGAAGGTCTTTTTTAGTAAAAAAATCACTAGCCTTAATTAGGATTAATTTTATCAGGCTAAATAAGCCTTAATCACCCTTGGTAGGGCTACACGTGTACCAAAATACAAACACATTTTATTTCAAATGACCGTTCCTTCATTCGAGGAAGAAAAGTTCTTTTCTGATTGGTACAGTTTCTGATCTATGGAAGCTCTGATGAAAAAACCGCCTTTTCAATTGATTAGTGTGATCCTCTTATGTACATTTTTCTATTTATACTTAGAATTTTTTGGAGAACTCTTTGTAGTAGATCGACAAATAGAACTTAATTGTGATCTTACTCTCTAAAAAAAATCCGTTTCCTAGAAAACCCAAACCTGTTTGGAAACCCACTCAGAAACCTCTAGGGGTTTGCGGGTGGGTTTCCGAAAAATAGAACCGTTTTTTTAAATACTTTTTTGGTTTCCGAAAATACTAATTCTGACACCCTTAAAGTATTGTGGAATACCTTTTTCTTGATGCCGAAAACCGAACCGTATTCTCGGAAACCGTAGTAGTTTTCTAGGAAACTAATATTACCTGAAAAACTGAGTTGGTATTCGAATGAGTATGCGAGGATACCTTTTTGGTTTCCGAATAAAGACTTCGGAAACCTTTTCGGTTTCCGACCATACTTTATATCAAAAAATACACTGGAGAACCGAAATCAGTTTCCGATTTCTTTGTGATTTTGTGAAAGGTTTCAAAAATTTTAAAAATTTTCATAATCCTTCATAAAAGCAGCCTGAGTCGAATTCAGCAAGTCCCAGAGGAACAATATAGATGTTCGACTTTTATTTTTTGATCGTCGATTTCACGCAATTTTACATATTTTTAATATGATGGAAACTTTATTTACTTTATATGACTTGCTTCATTGTGAATGATTCTTTTATTCATCAATTTTAAAATCTAAAACTATTTCATCCTTTCGAAGTAATATAATATTTTCTTGAAATTCTCGGTTTAACCGCAATGTTGAATATTCGAAGATAAATATTATGTTAACATTTCGGAAGCAGTTAATTACTACTATTGAAAAATCAATGCTATTCTTGCTTTCAGTAATATTTGTATATTGTTCTGAAAATAGCTTTCAATAGTCTTTCTCAATTTATTGTTGTCGTTCGATATTTTCTTCACTTTTATTGTGTAATCTAATAAAAATGAAAGATTAAGCCTCTAACGCACATATCACTCTATGTCGATGCACTTATGTTGGACTATTATTCACTTCAATTCGAATGGAATATGCTGTATTCATATTTTGATTGGTCGAAAGTTACCCAAGAGACAATATGGATAAACGATGCTTTTCTTATCCATTTTAAGAAAAAGGTATATTGAAAACAATTAAATTCTATCCATATGTATTTCTATTGATGATCAGTTTTTTTTTCTATTTTAGTCTCTCTCATCGTTTTAAAGCTGTGCAATATTTTATCCGGATGTTTAAAAAAGAATATTTTGATTGTTATTTTTAGATGAACGTTTCTAATCCATTCACGTGGAAAATAAATGAAGTTTCAACTTGATTAACTTCGTTTATTGCAAATGACGAAATTATTAAAGAATTTGAAAGTGAGTCGAATGTTATGCATAATCTAACCCTTCTTTTTAATTAACTTATAATTTTCTTCAAACTTCTTCTGTTTTGCCGAGTTATTTAATACTATTGTAAAGGTTTTTCCTAATTGGTGCCTTCTAGAGATCTGATGTTGACTAAATTGAAGACACGCTTTAATTTTTGGTTTATTGCATCGTACTATGTGATAGGCTATGTTCTTTTCATTTATTATAAGATTAAGTTATTCAGTGATCTGGTCATGTCTAGTAGAGTTATGTTCTGCAAATTTTGTACGATCAATCGATCATTCAACAAATTTTTTGATTATTTTCGTCACATAACCTTGTATCACGTAAATGAACGTAATTTTCAATTAACATGTGATATATCAAGTTGTTGTGGTGTCGTGTATAAAACGTTTACGTCGTATAAAATGCATATTCATCGCCATCATCGTTCGTTACTTAACCCATCATTTCAACAACAGGAAAATAATGGTATTGTTCAACTACCAATCCAGCAACCTGATACAACACATATTTATCCAACTACAATAGATTATACTGATGAAAATGTAATTTATTCTGATATCGATCATGATATTCTTGGAAATCAATCAAATATGTCATCAACACAAGTTTCTTATGACGATAACAAAGTCGACATTATCGCAGTGCAACAACTATACTCACGCTTTTTATTAGAGATGAGAGAACAACATATTTTACCACAACTAGTAATTCAATCAATTACGACATATATTGTAAATTTACTTGATATCGTAGTGGAACTTATAGAAGAGCAAGCGAAAAGAGGTAACATGATTCAACAACAGTCAGCTTCAACAAGTATTTCAGTTGATGATGTGCGCTCAACTGTAAATCAAATAGAAAAATCAATTATTCTTTCAACAAGAAACGAATACCAGTTTTTACAATCTTGTCAAAAGTATTTTAACTATTCGCCACCTACACAAAATATTATTTCATCAAATCAATCAGCAAAAGAATTTTCATATCATGTATCTATTAAACAAACAATAAGAACAATTTTATAAAAAAGATGATGTGTTACCGCTCCCAGGTCGAGCATTACTACGACTAGATACGGCCGTAAACGGCCGTTTACGATGACGTATACGACCGTATACGCCGAATTTACGACCGTATACGGGCCGTATTTAAACGTTTTGGTATGCGCCGTATTACGGCCGTATATCGCCGTGCCGTATACGGTAGTACACACCAACCGTTTCGAACCCGTGTCCGACCGTGTACGGCCGTATCATAAACAGGAAACGGCCAAATACTGTAACGTAAACGACCGTACCAACATCGTAACCGACCGTATACGGCCGTGATTCTGAAGAAAAAAAAATACATTCCTAAACCACACTCATCAATAGTGCGCACACTGCAGACATCAATTCTACCACATTTCCATAGGAATCACTCAAACCAAATGCAAGCAGCAAAAAAAACCTACTAAAAATAACACAAAAATAAGAGAAATCCTACTTCCAACAGATCTTGTCGGAGCACTCTCTATAACCTAACAAGCTCGCCCGCATCTAAAGTAAACTCCATATGCTTTTCCGCGTACCCAGCAACAGAGATCGTGAGAAATCTGAAAAATACAAAAAGCACCAAAGAAATCCTGCAAAAATCACCTTTCGAAGGAAGCATCGTAGAGAATCGTGGAAAGCAGCATTCAATAGCCAGCATCAAGAGATCCACATTGGGAGATTTCTGCTCCATTCTGCAACAGGGNATTATTTCATCAAATCAATCAGCAAAAGAATTTTCATATCATGTATCTATTAAACAAACAATAAGAACAATTTTATAAAAAAGATGATGTGTTACCGCTATTAACAGAAAATGTTCGTAATCAAGTTGCAATAACTCAAGCTGACCCAGATTTGATGTTTTCATTTCGAGATGGAATTAGAGGTAGAAAAAAGAACAAGCAATCTTTCATGATTCAATTATATGTCGATGGTATTGGTGTCACCAATCCTCTCGGTCCGAAGAAGGACCAACACAAATTAACTATGGTATATTTCACGTTAGAAGATACGCCGGATACATTCCGATCCACGTTGCAATGTATTAATCTTGCAGCAATATGTTATACAAAATATTTAGATACTGATGAAAAAATTAGGAAATTTTATGAACCAATTATTAACGATCTGAATGATTAACAATGCAACGGTTTAATGATTAATAAATTTGATACTCAATCGATATTTTCATTTTCAGCGATCGCTGCTGATAATTTAGCTGTTCATGAACTTGCTGGCTTTCAGCAAACTTTCAGTTCCGGTTATTTCTGTAGACGATGCTTAGTAACATATGAGAATCGTCTTTTACCTTTAACCGATGTACATTTCATTCAAAGAACACATTTACAGCATAATAAATATTTAAATTCACTTGAAAATGATCTTCAAATGAAATCAAAATTTGGTGTAGTTGGACCGAGTCCATTGAATGGTTTACAAAATTTCGATCCCACTACTTCGTTTCCAGGTGATCTGATGCATGATTTCTATGAAGGTAATTAATATTTAAATGAATTTTATTCTCTTAGCTGTTTCTTTTTTTAATTTTAGGGGTTTGTCCTCTAATTATTATGGCCATGCTAAAAGAAGCATCCAGTTCAAGATTAATCACTTACAACGCTATTCAAAACAGAACAGAGAATTTTGTTTATGGTAATTTGGACAAATCAAATAAGCCTCCTGCTATAATGGTCAAACATTTTAATAGTGATCGCATTGTTGGAAGTGCCGCTCAAAAGTACTGCCTTTTTCGTTTATTTCCAATTATGTTCTCTGATCTAGTTGAACGCTTGGAATCGTTCAAAATTTATCTTATTTTGCGCGAACTATTGGATATGGTATTGGCTTTGTCTCAAAGAAAACGTTGGTTACCTTTCATGGAAACGTTGTCGATAAATTTTCAATGTTTGATGTTAGATCTGCTTCCACATAAAGTAATACCAAAGGTGCATTTTATCACTGAATACACGAGAATCATTGATGAAAATGGTCCACCAGTGCGATACTGGTGCATGAGATATGAAGCTGCCCATTTATATTTCAAGAAGATTGCAATGCAATCTTATAATTTCAAAAATATCCCGAAAACATCGGCTCAACGACAACAACTACGCCAATGCTTTTTTTTATCAAAACCTTATTTTTTGAGGACATTTGAGGAAGCTAGTGATACTAAACAAACTCGTATGCATGAAATAGATTCAAAGGTTAAAATTCTTATCGCGCAGCGATATGGACAACAATTAGTTCAATCTGATCAATCATTACTTCGATGTTCTAAGCTCATACACAATCATATTATTTACAAACAATACGCCGTTTATGTTTATGATTTAGAACATGTGGAAGAAATTCCATTGTTTTTTCAAGTTCTCTACATATTCAAGTTCAATCAACGATGGATGTTTATTGTAGATTTTTTAAATACTGACGGTTTCAGTACAAAATTATGGAGCTACAAACTCAGCTCATATGGACGACTTGGAATTGTTCTACCAAATGATTTAAAATATTTTCACAAAGGACTTGATCTGTATGAAATTGATAACCTTCATGTTGTTAATCTCACATCAAGATTAACAAAAAATAATTAAACGTTGTAATGGATGAGGCAGATTTAGTATTTTCTCATTTCTTCCTATGCAGTAATACATTCCGAAATACAAACTGCAACTTGAAAGCTCTGTAGTATTGAACTACTTTTTATTTGACTCTTTTTTCTTTTAGAGGAGCAAGTGGATGAGGAAACTTTATTTTACATGAATAACTTGGATTTATTGAAGCCGTTCAAATTATCTTACAAAAACCAAGTCATGTTCTTGAAAGAGAGAGAAAAAATATTTTTGTATAATGCGAATGAGAAAATATCAATATCGCCACCATCAGCAAATGACGCAAGACCATTAATTATCGATGAAACTCAACAGAACAAAGATAAAGCTGCCACTCAGTTAGTTGATACGTTACTAAATTCATCAATTGTTTCGACAAAAATTTCAAGAAAATATTTACTAATTGACAAACCGCTGCCAGATCCATATTCATTACCAACATTACCTGATCAAATTAGTGTAGCTATTAATTCAAACCAAATGGAGAAATTCGAAAAGCTATGCAACTTCCGATCAATTATTATTGACGCTGCTTTTCATGATTTGAAAAAGAACTATAATTTAATGTGAGCATCATAATTTTCAATCATTTTCTTATATAATTAGTTTTTCTCATTCTTTGGGAAAGTTGCCCAAAATCTGCAATAGGAATAATTTTATGAGAACTAGAGAAACTACTGATTGTAGCTATAATGAGAACAGTGTATTTTTGGTAGTAGACAGAAGTTCCAATCACAAATTTTGACTTCCATACTTCATATTTCAATTAAAAATTTCATTCAGATTTTTTTTCTCTTAATAGATATCCGACAAGAACACAATATACAATCGTTGTAAATAGTATTTTGAATTATTTGGGTATCGATCAAAATACAAAAAAAGCAGTAAGTACATCTGAAGAATCTTCACATAAAAAACATCTTTTATATCACAGGATTCGTGGCGTGAGTCTTTAATTTCGAAGTATAAGAGAGAAAGACAAAATCAAAATGATGATCAAACAGTTGAAATGACACTTCGATACTCAAAAGAAAAATCTGGAAGAAAAATCAAGCAATATCCACAGACACAAATGTCAGAAAGAAACGCCTTGAAAAATGTAACTTATAGTAGAAAAAATAGGAAGCCATTCATACATTATTTTTATAGATTTCCAATATGGGACATCGATCTGATGTTATAGAACAAATGGAAGAAAAAACTGAAATAATCAAAACTGATTATCAAAATAATTCATTCAATGATCCAGATTTTAAACGATTGTGGTTTGATACTTATGAATATCGAAAAGATTTTATTAAGGAAAATACAACTGCAGACATTATGAAACAATTTCCTGCTTATACAAATCCATTTACTGTAGAAAATAGTTCAAGTCCTTTTAGTAGCAGATTATCTGTTTTAGATTTTGGCCGATGTTAAAGTATTAACAGGAATCGATTTAGGCAATTCAGTGACAGAAAACATTGATTCACTTGCTTCTAAAATTAATTCCGATAATAAATTTTTATCAGGTATTTTAAAATTGGCTTGTTCGTAATCATTAATTTTTTCTTTTTAAATAATGCAACTGTTCGTTGTTTTAAGGTGTTATGCAGTTTGTTGAATGATTCATGGAAGCATTATATTTATTTTCATCCTGAAGTAATTCATCTACATGGCAAATTCTTTTTTAGATGAAAAAAAAGAAACCGTATTGATAGTGATACTGGACAACATTCATTTTCAAACTACTAGATCTAGTTAGGCTGATTAGGAAAAACATTCTAGTCTGTTGAGGTTTTTCTGTTTACTGATGTGCAGTCAGTGTCATGCTACTTCATTCAAAACTTGTCTGAAGTAGTAGATATAAAATTACACTAATGTGCTATTAAATTAGACATTCTTTTTTAAAATCATACTATTGATATGAAAACAACAAAAAGTTTTTGTAGTTGTATATTAAAATAAATGGTAGTCATAAAAATGAAACCTAAACATGAATAATATATTATGAATTTTGATAAAGCTATACATCAGCTAACATCATTTTTACTTTCGCTGTATCTCATGTGAACTGTAATCAATGTGATGGGCAGTACCTAGTCATACTTGGTGGTTAACTATAAAAAACATTTCAAATCAACAATCACTTCATTTTTTGTTCTAGATCTTCAGCATCATAGTTAATCTCATACTGTACGACTATGTCTAGTTATGTTTCAAAGTTCATCGCATAAAGATGATGAACTTAAAATAATGAAAAAAATACTTCGAAATTTTTTTATATCTGCGAGTCATCTTATACTTATACCATTCATGAGAATTTTATAGAACTATATAAAATACAAATGTGCAGAATCATGGAGAAGTCTGAGTACTGTCATAATGAATATTTCAATGAATAGAACTCATTTTTCGTCATAAAAAAAGCTCGATAAAAAGATATAAAATAACAAATTCTGGTTTTGCCAATAGAGGACCCGTTGAATGTAATCAATTTTATTTTTCTACAAATGAATGCAAAACGAAGCATATATACAAAAGCATAAAGACTTTAAAGTCTTATCACAATATTTAACCCAGATATATTTCAAAAAGCTATTCCTATAATGAGAATTGCTGTAAAAATCAATCTGGGACATAATGTAAAAAAAGCCGATTTCTGAGAATTCGACAATGAGTGCTTTGATAACGGTCGGTTTATTTTTTCATCAATAGACACGAGAGGCCACAGATAAATTAAATCGATAGAAAAAGTTGAATGCCCTGAAAATATGTTTTTCAATTTATTATTATGACAGAAATTTATTTCAAAAAAATGATTACACGATTTTTCTCTCCGAGTTACAGTCCTTCATTAATAACATCTGACTTTTGCTGAAATATTTTTATTATTGACTATTTGAATTTCAATTCTTCTCATTATTTCCATAGAAGCCTGCTACTCCTCAGCCTTCAATGGTACTTGAAGATGATACTCTAAAAATTTATATTGATTGGACTTACGTTTGTTCATCACCTTCAATAGAACAATCTCTTGCAATAATCGTTGGTTTATATTATTTAATGAATCTAAAATTTCATCCTTATCGAACTGTTGCCAGATTTTTGTGCGTTTATTTGCTACATGATAAACAACAGCAATCAAGCAATATTCGTAGATTTTGTAAAGAATATAACATTGAGCTGCAAGATCAATCTTCATTATCATCTGATCTTCCATCTGATCTTCCACTTGATCATCTACCTGATCGCCTACTTGACCGCTTACCGGATCGTCTACCTGAGCAAACACAAAATAAAGCAACATCCATTAATAATTATACAGCAAGTAATAATGATGGTTTAACAATTATTCACAAGCAAAATGATAGTGATCGATTCAGAAATCAAATTCATATAATACCATCTCAACTGACCTTAACAAATCTTCGACCTACACAAAAACGAAAAGCCAATCAAATAGATGATTCTGAGCAATTAATTGAAGAAAATAATCCACCAACGAAAAAGTCTGCCAGAGTAACTTGCCAAAAACGACGATGAGATTCAATTAGCACAAGAAACAACTAAAACAACTGAATCTTTCTTAAACTCTATATAGGCCTTTCTTTAAATGAAAACTTCATTTTGATTGAATTATGTTTCTATCGAAAAAGAAGTATCCAAACCTTCTTTCTCCATCGCTTCCTATTCATTTATCATTACTAGCAAGGCTACCTTTCCAAGAATGTCTTGAAAAAATTATGAAGTTAGAGTTATATGTTTCGTTTTCATTGAAAGCTTTTTTATCCTGTACCGAAAAAATCTGTTTTTTTGTTCTATTCAATAAACCACTGATCTTCTTAGTGAGGAAGAAAAGAATAAAAAAATTATGTCTTCCATTGAAACTGCACATCTTCACACGTTCATATCATCAGAAAAGCTAGACTAGAGACAAGTATACGAAATCGACTATTATTGTCAAACTCATTTTCAAAGAGTAGCGCCAGACAAGGTAAATTGTATGACATGTATAAAAAATATAATTTCTACTATTTTAGCTTATCACGGACTACCATTCATTTTGTGAAAACAATTACGAAAACAAAATCAACAATCGTAATTAATGTCTAATTTCTAATATATCTATCAATTTAATCATTTCCTACACATACTGAGAAACTAATCAATATTGTTTGTTCGATTTCAAAACTGTCAACAACCTACATCTACAATGATTTGTATCTAACACAGCTAAGCCGTCAGCTCATTTACAACAAATTCCGCTACTCTAAAGCATAATTATATCCGTAATTTCAGTTTCTTATCTTTCTATTCAGATTGCACATGGAATGAACAAATCATCCTAGTGAGTTCAATTTCAATGCGTACGACATATTCATTTCTTTTTCTATATAGATCTTTCCAAACACAAGCAAACTTATCTGATGAGCTTCATATCGAAAATTCAGAATATTTCAATTCTTTATTGCAATATTTAGATCATTTGACACAATAACATATGATTCTCGTGAGTTTGCTTTTTATAATTCAATACCATTCATTTCTGTTCTTTTACATTTAGATCCTTCGTAATATTGGGAAACAATCATGGTGAGTTTAATTTTAAAACTAAAAAATTAATTCATTTCTATTATTTATATTTAGATCATTTCAGACATTCCAAGATGATTCCGGTGAGTTCATTTTAATCACTCAAAGCAATTCATTTCTTTTTTTTTTACTTAGATCATTACAAACATTCCAAGATGATTCTGGTGAGTTTTAATTCAACTATTTAACACAATTTATGTCACTAATTTATCTCTCGATTTTATATTTAGATTGCTGCTATCATTGGAACATGATTTAAGTGAGTTTATTTCGATAATTCAAAACGATATTTTCCTTTTTCTTTATGTAGACCATTGCAAACATTACAAGCTGATTCTGGTGAGTTTATTTTAATCACTCAAAGCAAGTCATTTCTTTTTTTTTATCTAGATCGTTGCACAAATTCGAACATGATTCTGGCGAGTTTATTTTAATAAATAAAAACGATCATTTCTTTTTTTCTTTGTTCAGATCGTTACAAATAGAACAAGATGAATCTGGTGAGGTTCAATTCAATCATTTAACACAATTTATCTCTGTATTTCATATTTAGATCGTTGCATACATTCGAAGAGGGTTCTGGTGTGTAATTTTATTAATTCAAAATAATTAATTTTCTTTTAAACACATCTAAATTGTTGCAATCAGTAAAACATGCTTTCAGTAAGTTTCAGTTGAATCATTTAAAACGATTGATTTCTGTTTTTCGATGTATAGATCGTGGAAAACATCCGACGATGATTATAATGAGTTTTATTTCGATCGACAAAAACTGATCGCTCATGTCGAGCATTTTCATTTCCATGTGAGGTGAAAGCAGATCGATTACCGTTCTCTCGTGATCTACGATTAGTTATAATGTCAAAAACCATCTGATGAGACACTTGAGCAAGGTCAAAATCGGTCATGGTTAAGCTTTGACACGCATCTACACTCAAGAGAATCTCTTTGTCTGAGTACTAACGTAAGACAAAATTTTGACCATTCAAACTAGAACTTATAGAAGTGACTAATAACTCTGTGCATTAAAATGGTTCAAAATTTCATATCTGGCTTTGCTGTCTAATTGGGTCACAATGCATTCTCCCATCCTTTAAATGCATGTTGAGCAAAAAACATCAAAATTGAAAATTAGCGTTTTCTGATCGATGTGGTGTCTCTAGTTATGACTCAATATTATCTAACTTCATATTATTTCTGAATGAAGCAATCATTTTGTAATCAGTCTACAATCTAGTCGATCTTGGCAACCTTTTTAGAATTAGGCGTCTGCTTTCACTATTGGATATTGCATGTAACCGGAAAGGAAAAGATTAATTTATTGATGCGTAAAGACACTCTGGAATAAATTAATGTACTGCTATTTCATGCGGCTGTACCATGATTATTTGATTGCACTGACATGTCAGTGGCGACAGCAATGAGAGCAGTGGCAACAATCAATAGTCTTGCTTTCTGAATCTCCATTGAAGTACCAATGTGTACGCGTGATAGACGCATCCTGGTCGACTTTCTTCATTTCTGCCAAAGTTTGCTGCATTGCTTCCTTAGTTTTTGGCATAATCCACTGTTTACGATTGTTCACATCGGTGTCCTCGACCAGGCCTTCGTTGACTTGCTTGTTCATCAAGCTGTCGTATCGTAGGTAGAAGCCCAAATCATCTTCTGTTCCGGTGGCATGCACCCGATCGACGAAACGATGAAGAAAATGAATCAGTTCAAGGCGTTTCTCAGCCATAATCTCGATGAATCGACCTTGCATGATGACATTTGATCCGTCGAAGAACTGCATAGGAAAAAACTTCTGACTGGTCTTGTCGAATCCCCACATGTACGGAATCGGCATAGGTTCCGATTCGCTTTTCATTTCGACGGGTTTGAGATGCGCGACTCTAGCATTGCTTTGTACCTTTGCCGCATGATCATCGATAGATGATCCTAATGATAGCTGGACAATCTCACTTGGACTCATCTTGAAGTGATTGTGAATGCGACAGATCCCAATATGGCTGTTCAGATTGGTCTCTCGCAAATCTTTGCCCATTTCTTCAGCAATGCCATCGAGCGATGCATGTCGACTCTCATCGATGTCCTTAAGACTATTAAATACTTCGTGTGACCATTCCTTGAAAAGCCCGGTATTGAGTAAAGTTTGTTGGTTAAGGATGATAGCAGTAGCCATGATTCCTACATTTAAATAGCTTGACAAAATCAGTCGAAAATTTCTTTTGTGCTACATACCCAGTAGATTTTTGTTTGCGAACAGACAGTTCATGTAGTGTTATTGAGATGCATGCTTTTTATATTTCCAAGATCGGATGTGAAAACAGAACACAATTCACGTTTCAATTACGAAGAACGATCAACTTCCTTGTTAGGCTCACATGATTACTTTAGTCTTGTGAGAGAAAAGATAACGTGTAACGCATCTGTGCAGCCCACTTGGGCGAACTACGTCATTCATATTATCCAATTTGGAAATTTCCACGATAGGAACTGTTTACGACGGGTATCTATCTTGGGAGAGAAAATATTTTTTTGGCGAAGTAGGAACTGCATGTGAATGACAAAGTTCGCACAAGTGGGTTGCACAGATGCGTAACACGTTATCTTTTCTCTCACAAGACTAAAGTAATCATGTGAGCCTAACAAGGAAGTTGATCGTTCTTCGTAATTGAAACATGAATTGTGTTCTGTTTTCATTTGTGCTCTGTACTGAAAAAAAATACCTATCATACCGAACCTTTTGTGCAACGAATTCGAAATCCCCGAAGAGGTTTCGTAAAAATATTTGATCCCTTCAAAATCATTGTCATCGATCGAGAAGTGTTTTTTAAAGGTTCGGTAGGATTTTTTTATGGTTTGGTACGAAATCCTCTGAGGTTCGATAATGTAACCATTGTGTTTTCAGTGCTGGTAATCCCTGATAATTCTGAAATCCTAGATGATACGGAGACCATATAATTTTGAATTGCTTTATAATTCATTTTACATCATGAAATCGAATATTCAGCATAGCATGGTATTTAGAAGAATTTAGTTCTTCAAAATATGGCATTTTACCGTAAAAATTCCGTATTTATCGATTTTTTTTGAATTATCCATTTAGAAACGACAGTTGTTTGAATTTATGATTCTTACATTTTTAAGGATGCTTACTATTGCTTATGGTTTTTTTTGCACGACGTTGTTGTTTTCACCCTTCCTACATGTACATGACAGGAACGAGTTATGTGATGAAAAAGTGATTTTTTTTGTCGTCATATTATAAAGCTTAGAATGTTAATCAAGTTTTAAACTGGTTTTCGCCGGTGATCTTATGATGCTGAGACATTTAGTTCTTGAAAGTTTCACAGTGACCGTTGAAGGTCGATTTAGGCGTGACGAATTTTCAGCGAAACAACTAAATTCCAAGAATTTCAAAGTTTCCAGGACTTTCACAGATTGCAATGGTTCCATGAACTCCAAGGATTGCAAAGCTATTCAAAGACTTCATTAATTCTATGAAATCCAAGGTTTTCTTGAATTCCAACTCATGCGAAAGTTTGAGCGGGTAAGCTGGCTAACATACCTTGCATTTAGAGCTTATTAGCGCGCCAAAGTGCATATTTCCGGTGGTGTTTTTAAAAGCGCTTAAATGCGCCTATATCACATGAAATACTTAAAATTTTGTGTAAGAACTTTCTTCAACAGTTCAAAAATAACTTTCACTAGTAAGATTTTTCAAATAGGAAGACTTCTAAGGAAGTCAAGAACTCTCTTTATTCCAAAGATTCTTATGAATTTCAAGCATTCCAAATCCATTGAGTTCAGACATGTCTTCCGCTTGTAACTCTGTATTGATCTGAATAATTCTATGGTGAATATTTGAGGATTCTTTTATATGCATCTAAACATTCTATGATTATTTAAGGATGTCACATGTCCTTCATAGAGTAAAGAAAATGTTTTTATTCAAACTATTCTTTTTATTTGATAGAAATGAATTATATTTTAATAACTCTTATGTGTTTGAATCCAAATTGAATTTTTGTACTCGCTGATTTTCGTTGTCGACGACATACAGATTACCGTGTCGGTCGAATGATAAATCGGTGGGATAGCGGAGTTGATTCGATCCTTTCCCTTCACCGTTTCCACCAACAATGACATTTCCCTGTGTAGCTCCTTTGGGCCAACGCATGATTCGATGATTTCCACTATCAGTCACATAGACAGTGCCCAATCGATCGACAATGACTTCATAAGAACTTGACAATTGTGAAGCATTATTTCCCTTTCCTTGATTACCAGCCACGACAGTGCCATTTTTTGCACCTTCCATCCATTTCATCACGCGATTATTTTCATAGTCAGACACGTATACTGAGTGATCTCTATCAACGAATATGTATGCACGGTTCGAGAGTTGATCGGAACGATTTCCTTTTCCATTACCACCTGCAACCACTATTCCTTGCAATACTCCTCCTTGATATCGTCTAACTTCATTTTTTCCATCTTCAGCAACATAGAGAGATCCAGTATCATCCATTGTCAAACTCCGACAAGAGATGTTCGAAATGATCGTTTCTGCACTTCTCTGATTTTGACGAGGCCATCGAACTACTCTTCTATTACCCCAATCGCAGATGACAAGACTATCTCTGTCTTTGTCGACAATCACATCTCTTGGGTTATCTAATTGATGAGTCCCACTACCATTTCCATTACCACCGGCAACCAATTGGCCACTCATCGCATGCCATTTCCATTCCACAATACGATGATTCGATTGATCACAAATATAGATAGTCTGATCATCATCAACATACAGACTAAGTGGATTAGAGAGTTGATTCATTCCATCGCCTCTTCCATTTCCTCCAGCCACGGAGACTCCATCATGCACCCATTTGGCATTCGGATGAAGATCAGTTGAATTTAATGGTGCTGAAACGAAGCAAAGCTTTGCAGTATGAATGAACATCAGCTTCATTGAAACAAATCTCTCGATTGTAAGATGAGAAATATTTTTGTCAAATGAATTTGTATTCTCAACTTTGAAAAGAACGAGAACTCATCTGTCACTTTGTCTCACTCACTGTCTTTCATTTTGAATATTTTCGGTCGACAATAAATACTAGTTTTCTCTTATTTTACAATTCACTTCAATGATTTTATTGAAGCAAAATTTTTATCAAAATAAATAAGAATACATCTCTGTCTTCATCTTGAAACAGATACTTCAAAACTAGTAATGCAATGCTCACCAACAAATAGTCAACACAGTATTATATAATTCAATTTCTGTCAAAAACAAACCTCTACTCTTCACCTGATAATTTATGCTGGCTTGAAATTAGCATTTCATGAAGTCTATGCAACGTCTTCTCAAAGCACTACACATATATTCGTTATTCCTTTCATATTTTAAATTAATCATAAGTAGCATTTAGATCAATAACAGTATTATTTCAACTCATGGCCTACTTTCTTTCTAGGCAATTGTTTTAGTCAACTTTCTTGTTTCTAAAGAACATATGTATCACGGCAAAAAAATTGCCCTTGTACATTAAGTATTCATCAACAACTTCACGATTGATTTTGGTAAATATGGATGGTAAAACTATTAGACATATATAGGAGGCATTGCAACTAAGCCATGACCACTTTCAGCAGAATGTTGCTCAATAAATGTCACCAATTTGTTTGACATTTCTATAGTAGGTACCTACATCCAAGTTAGGAATAAACTGAAAATTTCAGCTCAAACCGATGAACCATTCTGGATATATAGACGTTGCAAATATGAAGGGGTAGGCTCAAAAAGGGGCAAGTGCTGGTTCCAAGTACCAAATTTTACTATAGTTTCGAAGGTGCTGAACAGGTGCTAGAGATGCTGAAATATGCTAAAGATGTTAGTAGTTGCGGAAAAGGAACAGTAAAATAAAGGAGAAGTATACCACAGGATGACATAATTCTCTGTTAAACTCATTGCTTTCCCTCGATCTTGGTGAATACACTAATTTCACAATAAAAACAGAGGTGTACCAAATTAGGAACCTGAATTAACTGAAAACCTGCATCTAATTTTATTAGCTTGAGAATCATCATTGAATTCTGATTATTTTCCAGGAGCTTATTGTGTACTTTATGAAAACTCAATTTTTAACATCTGGAGTACCCCTCAAGGATTGAAAAGACATTTTGTTCTGATTTTAGTGCAAGTAGTTATATTTCGATAAAATTAAGTTCCCTGATCACAAATATCATCTTAGATTCTAAAATTCATTGGATATTAAGAAAGATCTGAAGCATTCTCCGGAACACTTAAAAGCAGCTATTGGGCCAAAGGTCCTTGAATATTTGATTTATACTGTTTGAGAATAGACCCCTTCGATACAAAATGTTTTTGTCTATCAGAGTATATAAGATCGGCTTAGACATTCAAATTTTGTTTTATCGATAAATGCTAAATACCGTCCAGATTGACTCATGCAGCTAGAAATAATGCTATTCTCAATTTTATGAAGTGTAGCTTTTCGAGGTTTACCAAAAAGATTTTCTTACCGGATACGTAATTCAATGTGCTCTTTCTAATGAAAGAGTTTTAAACTTAAAACTCGTTGTAATATGAAGCGTTTTCGCTCCAATACTACTATTGGAACTGGATTTCTGTCAGTTGTGACCGATATTCGATAGTTTCAAGCAGATTAATTCTCATTTGATTGAATATAAATATTATATTTGTTTTAAGCACAAAATCTAATTCGGTTTAATTATTTCTACACCTTTTGTTTTCGGTCAGATTTTCACCCCTGGTCCCCGTCATGGATAACGAAAAACAAGCTTATCCCAAAAGCCATGCGGGCAATGTTAAAAGTTTCCAAACTTTGGGAATTATGTTTGAGATAAAATAGATCAATTAATAATCAATCAAATAGTTGCTTTGAATAAAACATTTTGTTTTCATATAATCCTGAGGGGGACCAGACGTAAAAATCTGACCAAAAACAAAAGTTGTAGAAATAATTAGATCCACTCAGATCTTGTGCTTAAAACAAATATAATATTGATATTCAGTTGCATATGAATTATTCTGTTTGAAACTACCAAGTAGCAGCCAAGCAATGACAGAAATTCGATTCCAACACTAGTATTGGAACGAAAACACTTTGCATTACATCGAGTTTTAAGTAGAAAACTCTTTCATTTGAAAGAGCACATTGAATTACGTATCCGGTAAGAAAATCTTACTGGTAGACCTCGAAAAACTACACTTCATAAGACTGAGAAAAGTAGTATTTGTAACTGTATGACCCGATTGGGGTGGTATTTGGATGATCGAGAGAAAAACGATTAAATATCGAAGTCGTTTTTACATATTCTGATAGAAAAAAATATTGTGCATCGAGTGGACCTATTTTCAAACAGTATTAATCGAATATTCATAGATCTTTAGGTCAGTAACTGTTTTTTAAGGCTCCGAGAGAGTGCTTCATATCTTTCTTATTATTCGATGAAATTCAAAACTGAGACAAGACTTGTAATCAGAAAGCTTAGCCTTATGGAAATATAACTATCTAAATTAAAACTAGAACAAAAATGGTTTTTCGACCCTTGAGGGGGGCCCCAGGTTTTAAAAATTGATTTTTCATGAAATACATAATAAACTTATGGAAAATAAGCCGAATTCAATGATGATTTTCAAGCTAATAAAATTATGTGCAGGTTTCTTTCTACCAAGAAGTATGGCATTTCCTACAATGTTTTTTTCATACCCGAGAGAAAGCAGAAGCTGTACAAATGCATTGGTGATAAAATGAAAAATAAACTTCTGAAAAATAACCAGAGCTCAGTGTTAGTACTCACACTAATAAAAGAAGAATCAAACTTTTTGGTATATCATTTTGCAATTTGATATACGGTTACTTTCGAAGGATGTTTTTCTTTTTCTGTTGGCTTTCTATTCTGAAATAATTCTCATTCAAAGTCTGTGAATAATTCAAGAAAAAAATCACCTCTACTATTGAAAATGAAAGTAGTTTTCCCGATTCATTTCCATACGACTGAAGTAAATCTCACTATAGAAAAGGTGCTGAGGTGCTAGGGGTTCCAAACCTGCACTTTCCCCCTTGGCTGTTTGTGTTGCCCGGGAAAAATCGGTTATATTCGGGTAAAATTAAACCTCTCGTCGCTAAAATAATAAAGTTAAAATATAAGCGGACTTGGTCTTCCTATATCAAGATATTCGAATTTTACTGTACTCTTCGTTCAACTATATAGGAGCATTAAGATTACTCATATTCGTTTTTTATACAATCAGATGAATACTTTAATAGTGAGTTTCAAGAAACTTTCTTAAATGTATCGCTAACATTAGCATCACATTAGTTTCGATATCTTCTGAAACTTAAGTGATATCGAGATGCAAAAAAAGATATATACTGCGTTTGAAAAAGGACTTATACATACAATATTTGAATTTAAAGTGCATTTGTCCATCATTTGGTGATCTATCGGTCGTTTCTTTGTAATTGATGTTAAGAAATCCAAAGGATATATGTACTATCTAATAATTATTTTCTTTTGTTCTCTTCAATATCTACCGTTTAAAAGGGTTTATTTCATCAAATTAAAGCATGAATTTAATGAACATCGCCAAACATCTATTCTGTGTGACTCAAACTGAATATGATTTCTGAAAATTCTGTTAGTACTGGCGATAAAAATTTTGTTTCCAAACGATTTTTTGAGGTTTCGAAGTTATTTAAAGACAGCTACTTCAATAAGCTGTATACTTATGATATTCTTGAATTCGATGATGAATATGAAGAATTGATTGATGAAAGAGAGATTCGCGATGAAATTGATGAAAATGGTCATTCTAGCGCAAAAAAAAACTAGTTTTACATTAGAAGAAATAGAAAACACAATCGAATAGGTTGATCAACATGCTAATGCTAGATTTACAACTATTTCACATCGATATTAAAAAATCAAATCCATGAAGTACATTGCAAAGTTTCGAGAATATATTGAAAAAAATGGTACAAGATTTGAAAAATTAAAACAAATTAAGAAATTTATGTCTAACGAATTTTATCTGAACAGAACGGTTGAACAAGAAGCCATTTAAAATGCTGATCTAGAACTGTATACAATTCACAAGATTGCAGACTCTCAAGTCTGTAGTTTAAGAGGCTCCCCCCTCAGGGATCGCTTTTCGTTATTCGTGGACCAATTTGTCTGAAATTTTTACGCAATATGGTGTTGTGTTAACTCAAATTTTTGCAAATTTTTAGCTTTAAAGAGTTATTGACAAATTAATCTCCAAAATGGTGGTCCTCGTAAGGTACCGATTTCTCGAACTGTCAAAGACGTAGATAGCTACTTTTTTTTTAAATAAAAGAAGAAACCTATGTCTAGAAATGTATGTAGCGTTTTTTCGAAATTCGATTTTGTTCGGATTTCCGAGACATTCTACTACAAGAACTCGGAATTTAGTGCCTTTTGACATCAGTTTTATCCAGTTGTCTCGGCCAACAGATCGAATTTCGAAAAAACGCTACATACATTTCTAGATATAGGCTTCTTCTTTTATTTAAAAAAAAGTAGCTCGCTAGCTCTTATACAGTCTGAGAAATCGGTTTCGAACTCTTCAAAAAAGTGATTTTGAGAAAACCAATCAACAAGTTGTATGAAACAATTTTAATTTCACTATGACTGTCACGAGCTCTATACTGCAATTTCGTCATGTATACAGGATTTTAAGCAGAAATGACTACGTTCCACTAATTAATTAATATAACAGAACGCATATCTGTTTCTCATTAGATAAAATCTATCAGCTTGTGGACCAATATCACATCCACGTAACTAAGGAAAATTTCTGAAAAAACCGTATATTTCTACTACTGCTCCCAGAAAACCACTATTTTAAATATACATGTCTCAATGTAGCATACATATATAATTTAGAATCTCAAAATTGCAATGAAAGTAAAAGAACTTTGTTATCAAAGTATTCTTCTCACCAAATTTTAAACAGTGATCACTGTTCATTTCAACAAGATCATGTTCCACCAAGGATCCTTTCTTTTAGCACTGAAAGAACAACAGAAGTAGATGTTAAAAAGAAGCACAATTTAACACATTTTGATACAGTTCAGCCTATTTTATCAGCTGACGGTCGTTTATTAAACAAATTCTTGCTCGCCCTTCAAGAAAAAGAAAATGAATTTTGTAAAATAGTACAAAAAGATTTAATTGTACCACCAAATGTTGTAGTAAGAGCATCAAGATCTGGAAAAAGGAGCGATGAAAAGCATCATACTTTTTTAAATGAACCTCTACATCGTTTGGCTTATAGAAATTTTCTTCTTTTCCTTGATTCTTAGACAATTTCAGCTGACCTTAAAAAGTTTCGAGTAGTATTTCCTAATCAAGACAGTCTATTATTGATTTTTTCCGAAGAATCAACTGGACATATTCAACCACAAGATCTTTCTTTAGTCTGTTCGTGGCGATTTATCTGCGCTAGACTCGTATCAATCGAACAGAAATAACTATAAGTGATCGCTAGTGACTTATACTGTGTCATTAATAGTTACGATGAGCGAACATTATTAACTGGTGCTGGATGTAAAAGAACTTTGTTACTATGATTTGATTGAAGACCTGCATCCGAATTTGTAATATATGTGTTGAGTTAGTAAATTATGTAATCTTTTGTTTTTAATTGAAATAAAATCGATAATATGGATGAGTTAAAAATTTTATAACTGCTAGGTGATCTGTATCTAAATTAATACTACAGAAGTTTTACAAGATATCGAAATTAATGTGATGTTAATGTTTCTATATAGTTGAACGATGAGTGCAGTAAAAGTCGAATATCTTGATATAGGAAGACCAAATCCGCTTATATTTTAACTTTATTAGTCTAGCGACGAGAGGCTTAATTTGACCCGAATATCACCGATTTTTTTACGGACAACACAAATACCTCCACTATCAGGACAAAGGGCGGTCTCATATTACCATCCAAACATTTCTATGCATAATCAACCATGGCATATATAATGAGCAGATCAGTGGAATTGTAGAAAGTACACGTACTTCATCTATCAATTCTTTTAAGCAGTGGAGTCAATCTGTATCTGACACGAAAGTCATAACTTCATGTTGAAAACGACTCTTATTTGTATGGATAAGAGTGCTCTGTAGGAGTTAGAATTGGAAGTGGTAAACAATTATTTTTATTTGGAAATGAGGGGGAGACAGTCGTCATAAAAGCTAACAAGACTCAAGACAAACTTCCGAGAACAGCTTGGAAAAAAGAAAATTGTGGAGGATTTAAGCAATTTCAATTGGACCAGTTTTCTATGAGTTCAGCCTCTCATTTGAGTCAATAATAGCGAGTTTTTGTCGCCGTTCGAGATGAACATCAGGATCAAACGATTGATTTTCAATAATTACTGGAAAATGGCGATTTTCGTAAAATTTTTATAAAAACTCGAAAATATGTCAGATCGAGTCCTTTCAAATGAAAACCGAAAAAGGCGCAAGCTCGTCCTATTTTTATATCAAATAATCTCAATCCTCTTCATAAAAAGGTTCAACTACAAACCTCGTAACGACTCGACTTCAGCTGTGCCATAATCGATGAAGAGTTTGATTTCGTCACACCAATTGTTCTTGTTGTGAATTGCATTATGATCTGGATTGAACGTGACAAGAACATCAAGTTCCTTCATATCTTCATGTAACCTCATAATGGTGTTATTTTCCGTTGCGTCTACATAAAGGAGGTATAATCATTATAATTACTTTATGGTTACAGTGTAGTTACCTAAAATATTTTTATCAATGATTGTTCCATTTTGACTCTTTCCATTCAGTTCAATGGACACACCGTTTGTCATCTTCGCATCCAATACGGCTAGAGAATATTTCCAGAAGCCTGGATCCCAATGTGCTAAACCGACTTTTTGATACATGCTAGCTCCAACATTGTTGGATTGCAAAGCAAAATGACAATTATTGAAATCTGTCTCAGTTTTCATAGTGGTAATGTTACCGTGTGTGAGTACCCAGCTGAGGAGAAGAGAAGTATTGCAATCAGCATAACCGTTTTTAATCAAGTTCGGATTACGAACGCGCGTTCCATTAGGTAATAGAGCATCTTGGATCGAGAGAGCACTCTCCAATTGACTACGCGTAACGTTTGTTCCAGCGAAATCGGCCTTGTTCAGGTTAGCAAGTGAAAAGTTCGTATTGGTTAAGTCAGCATTGTTAAAGGAAGCACTTTTGGCATTAACTTGAAAGAAAATTGACTCCGATAAATTTGAACTATTAAAATGAGCTTCAATACAACGAGTTCGTTCAAATTTTGTATAAGGCATCACGGCGTTGCGAAAATTAACTGAATCTAAAAGTAGAATTAAGAAAATTTATTTCATGATCATGAAAAAATTTACAGCCAGTATAACCTAATATAGTGAATGAAAAGCTGACGCTGAAGAGTTGAGTGCATGAAAAGTCGACCTTGTAGAGCTTCGTCGATGAAAATTGGACATTGTTGAACTGAGCAGATAAAAATCGAACGTTATTGAGGTCGATATAACTTTCTTCTGAGGATGAAAAGAAGACATTATCGAGCCTAGCGGATGGGAAATCTACATCCAGGAGTTTAGCATATGAAAATTTGACATTGCTAAGGTTAGCCAATGAAAAGTCAACATTAGTGAGAGTGGCGAAAGAAAAATCAACATAGCTGAGATTGGTATATGCAAAATTGATATTGAAGAGTTGAGAAGATGAAAAATTGACATGGTCGATAATGGCGGATGGAAACTTGACCCAATTGAGCACAGCAGATGAAAAGTTGACCTTATGAAACGAAGCAGATGAAAAGTTAACATTTTCAAGCCACGCGAATGACAAGTTACTGTTGTCAAACGAAGTATTTGAAAAGTTGACAAAGTTGAATCGAGCAGATAAAAAGTTGGCATCATGGAGCTCGGCAAATGTAAATTCCACATTTTCAAGCTGAGCGGACGACCAGCTGCTATCGTTAAATCGAGTACGTGAAAAATTGATGTGTTTCATTCCAACACCAATGAAGGTAGCATTAGATAGAAAAGTACTAGCCAGTGAGATATTGTCCAGTTGTTTTCTATAGATTGCTAAATGGCGAAAATCAATACCAGGAAGTTCCGCTGTGGAAAGATCCAGCGAAATTTGTTCTCTTGTTCCGCTAAGTTGTTCAGATTCATGGAGGAATCGAATAATGCGAATATTGCGCTGCGGATCCAGTCGGCGAAAGATATTTAGAGTTTTGGCACGGGCAAGTGTCATTGGAACTCGATTAGAAATGAGTGATCCATTGTACTTCTCGAACAATTGACCAATCCCCTTAATATAGGCATCGAAAATATCATCTCGATATCGCTCAGCAGCTATATCTCTCTCTACTCGACGGTTCTCTTCAGCTGCCTTTTGATCTTCCTCACGCTGTTGCTTGTTAGCATTCTGTTGATTAACAGTAATAACAACAGTGAAGATGCCTAGCATGACCGGTAATAGTAGAGACGATATTGACTTTGATGCCTGAATAAACGTTACATTACAGAATTTACGATTTTGAACAAAATTTCGTTTCGTTTGTGTAGAGTTCTCGTGCAGACTCATTCGTTTCTTTTCTATTTAAGAAGTAAAAGTTAAAAAACACGAGAATGAAACAGTATTCAGACGTTCTTTCCTATGCGCTCTCTCAACCAAAATACATCTAGACAATGTTTGATCCGTATGAAATACATGTATATCTGATTTCAATTCTATCAAAGTCATGTTTTAACATGGATTCATTAACTCAACACATACACGCTCATAATACAATAAAAAGAACGTGATAGAATAATCCATGCGTTTTGTTTGACTGCATTGTTAGAAGCATACGTGTTTGAATTAAATATTTATTAGAAAAGCACATGTCATTGATATTGAAAGAACCCATATGCAGATTATCAGTAATATTCATATTAATATGAAACAAAAATAGAAATAAGACGCAGGTGTGGGTGTATATTTTATAACCACACCCATCGGACGATACAACATATTTGTGTAAAATTTACAAAACTCCTGCGAATCTTACGTCTAAACGACATATCATCGCTGTATGTATTCATATACGTACAATCAATTTATGTTTATTATTGACTTCATATAGAACAAAACCTTAATTGAATCAGAGAATCAAGATTTTCTTCATCATATACTCTTCTATGAATGTGGTGCCTTGGCTCAGTTTAATGATTCAAATTTACCTCAAGGTTTATGTGAGAGCATTCTAAGTCAAATCAGACTATGTAAAGTAAACGTTGCAATTGGTTGGGGAGTTGGTGGAGATTATGTAAGAACTATTCACAGATTTTCATAAAATAAAAAGGTTGACCGATATAAATTTAATAAATGACTGAATATCCTCCAGAGGCTGGTTATCCAATCGGTGGTGATTTTGAAATCAAATACTATATGATTGAAACTCATTTCAATAATCCAAATCGACTTTCAAGTAAATGAACTACAACATAGTTGATAGTTTCGAATAGGAAAAAAGTTATTTAATTCAATTTTAGGTATTGATGGTAGTTCAGGTATTCAATTTTACCTTGGTGATCAATTACGTCAATACGATATTGGTTATTTACCATTTGGTACAGATATTCGGCCAAATACTCTTGCTATTCCACCTTATGCACAAAATTTTATTGTTGATTCCTTTTGTCCAAACTCTGTGACTATGGTTTGTTTCATATGATCTTAATCTCTTTATTTATTTCATTGTTTATTTAGAATATTCCAAATTCTGAAATATCAATTGTCTCAGCTTTTCCACATGCTCATTTACACGTTAAAATAAGAAATAGATTTTTCAATTAAGTTTAGTTTAAATATAGGTCGAAGTATATAAATAAAAATAATTCGAAATACAACAGCTATCAAATATTTAATTAATGCTAAATCATTCAATTTTAACTATCAACTGCAAACTCGTTTTACGCAACCAATTATATTATACTCAGTAAGAGAATGAACATTGTTTTTTCATCTTTAATGAATATTTTCAGGGTGATGAATTCGTAAATCGATGTGTTTATAATACAATGAATAAGACGCCAATAACCTTGGTAAAACCGATCGATGTGACAATCAATTTTAATTATTCCATTACTTGTGATTTTCAGGGAGGTGAAAGTGTACACAATGAAATGTGTCTGAATATGTTCGTTTATTATCCTAGAATGGAAAATTTTTCTGTCTGCTTAAACAGCATATTGACTTCATCCTAGAGTACATTAATGCGAAAGAATGCATCGTACTTATAATTTTGTTTATTAAAAACATTGTTGTTACTTTTTTATTATGCAGATCAATTTTTGATTATGGACAATTTATGCAATGACTAATGAGTATCCAATGGGCACCACAAGTAACTCACAATGGCAAGAGTTTTATAATAATGCTTCGCGAATTATCATCTATGGTCGAGCAGAAAATCTTCGTTATAATATTTTATATCCATTGTTACAATATAAAGATTTGGAGCAAAAACAATGTAATCAAACATCAACTTTTAATCATGCAATATACCTTGCTTCCAATATCTCTATGAGTTTGTTCCTCATGATACATTTAATGATATTAAAAATATAATTCATATTTTAAAACACTGTACATTAGTACATCTACTATCTATATATTTAAAAACAACGAGATAGTAATAAGATGCATCTTGTCAGTGAAATGTGACATATTATAATAGTAATGTTTGACTAATATTTTTGCAATATTGAGACTATCTATGTATGAATATAGTATATGAGCTAACGAGGATCAACTACATTTAAGCGTAACACAGCTGATTAATTTTTGTTGGTTGATGGTTGTTGTCTTTGCTGTTGCTGTTGCTGTAGAAGTTGAAGTTTTCGTTGGATTTGTTGTTTAACTTTAAAAAGAATCGGATCCCATGCTTCACTAAGCTTATTATGCTTGTTAATGGATTCGTTAATTAATGAATAAATCCAAGTTTTTTCTTGTTCTATTATAATTGCGTTTTCAGTGTTAAATAAGCATTTTTAACGATTTCTCTCGATATGTTGGGCAATTTCTGATTTATTGTCGACTTTATTTATGAGTTGATAGTGTTGATTCATTCTCTTTTTTATGCCTACTTTGTTTCATCATTATAAATTTTTGGCGGGTTGCAATCACATTGAATTTGATATATCACTGATCTGGATTATGACTTCATCGATTGATTTAAAACGGATCGTAGCTTGTTTCGATAGAAGAAATATTATTTAATATTTAATTTTTCTAATCTTCGTTTGAGTACTTCAATTCCTGGAACATGGTAAATTTATCCTGTATTTAAATTCTTTGCTATTAGGTGTTAATGGATTTTTCCCTTTTGATGTTTCACAAGCTTATTTAATTAGTTTTTCTATTACATTATAACTGGATAATCAGAGTTAATTAACATTCTTCGTAATTTGTTAAGATCTTCGTGTTGTTCTTTAGGATCTTTTGTTGTTTTAATGATTCTTCGGTTCATATTTTTGAGTATATTTGTTTTTACAGCTTTCCCATGTAATAAAAACCGCATGAAAATCGGCGGTTAACCGTGGTTTTACCGGTCCGGTTACCGGCTCTCATTACCGCAGAACGGATAAATACCGCGGTTTACCACAAAAAATGAACTGGCATTTACCGCGGTAAACCGCCGGTTTTGATTAATACCGCGGTTACCGCTAAAAAAAAGCGGTTAACCGGTTCATCTATAATTTTTGACAGAAAAAGTCTTCCAAATCATCAATTAAAATATTTTAAAGATCCCTTTTTTTTACTTTTACATGTGATAAACATGCGCAAAAAACCGCCGATTTACCGCGGTTTTACCGGTCCGGTTACCGGCTCTCATAACCGCAGAACTGATAAATACCGCGGTTTACCGCAAAAATTGATCCGGTATTCGCAACATGGGTTGTTATGACTGGAACGATAATTTAGAAAGCGAGTAGCTGCGGTTTCTTTTCTCAGCCATCTGATTTCTATTTCTTATCTGTTGTTAATTCTTTCTTTTGTTATGGCTGTGTCTGGAAAATTAATTTTATTGTGAGTGTGGATGTGGGGTGTGACTCTGCTATTTAGTTACACATCTTACCCACACCCACACACCCAACTATCTGAAGATCAGCATTGCTTATTAGTTATAAATGGTTACTGAATTTTGACCATAATCCATTTATTTGGTATATTAAAAATTTATATACAACAATATCTGTTTTTAATTAAATTCTAGATTTATTTTTAGACTATATGAAGTGAGTCTAATTTTATGTAATGAATGAATTAAAAATATCATTTCGAAAATTACACGAAACATTCTATAGCACTCAACCGTAAAATATAAAACTTCTTTTTTATTTTTCAGAAGAATCGATCGTTTTATCAACAATAACTTGTAGAGAAACCTTAGTTTTTTTCTTAGCCTATTGATAACAATATCAAAAAAAAAGTAGAAACATCTGTATCAGAAAAAATGAATCATTATTCAGTACCAACATCATTATCATCAAGTGATATACTTCTTTCAACGGTTAAAAATAAGTGATGATCATCTTTTATTAGAATTAACTGAAGTCCTTGAAAAATATATGTATAATGCATATGAACAAGTAGCACTGTCACTTCCGCCAATTGCCTTAAGTAATTGTTAACTTTTATTTTTTAATTTAATAAACTTATTTTCATCACACTGTTAAATTCGTTTTTATTATAAATAAATCTACATGTTTTCAATGGTCTAATCGTTTCATATTTTAATTATCTTAACCGCTATATGAAGTAATCGATATAAATCATCAATACGAAATTTTCCTTTAGATGATTAATTTAACCAAACGCATCAAGAAATTATTTGAAGGGTATGATCTATCAATGGATGGTAAGTTACATAAAATTCAAAATATAATTAAAACGAAATAAGAGTCATTTATCACCATTTTTGCAAGAAATATACTTGATTTTGAATGACAATTAGCACTAATTCTAGTATTTATCCAACATAAGAAACATCAGATATGCGTATTCGAATGAAAAGATCGATCAACTTCTACTTCAGACATGTATCGTTAACAATTAATAAAATTGTAGTTTTTTTAGTACATGGTCAATTCATATGCAATTAATGTACTGTTTTTAATACGACAGAAAGAGATGATTGGTTGAAGTATGCACGAAAATATCATTACTCGGAATTCGCCCGTTTAGTCCGGGAGAGAAAAGGTTGTCAAACGGCTCTTAATGATCAACCAATTGCCAATATATCAGATAATGAAGTAATATAATTGCTTAAAACATTTTAATAAAAAAAGTGTTTGGATATTTTTTGTATCGTTTAGGATGATAATGATGATGAAACTGCTAATTCTGATACACCACGTTTTGAATTTGATGCTTTAACAGCTAGTACAGATTCACGTCGTCTTGCTTCTCAACGATGATTTCAACCAGGTCGTCCAGCATCGGGTACAATTCCACGTGATTTTATTCATCAACGTCAATTTCAACCAAATTGTCCACCACCAAATATAAATCAATATTGTTTTATTCCTCAACAACAATTTCAACCAAATCATGCGACAACAGATACAATTCCACGTGATTTTATTTCTCAACAGCAATTGCATTTTGGTAATACAACTAGTCTCCTGTACGGGTGCAACTTTTCATACCCGGAGCCGGACCGAGTGATTTTTCCCACACCCGGAACCGACCGGACCCGGCGCCCTTACGCCCGTACCCGAACCGGAACCGGACAGCTAAACCCGGTACCCGACCGGGTTGTAGTCAAAATTTTGCTTATAGTTTATTAGTGACATGATCTCAATGAGATAAGTAATCGATAATAAAAGATCAATAAAATTAATAAATAATAAATAACATCAAAGACGATGTTTTTGTTGTTCAACTAAGATCTAGAAGATAAAATAGAAGTGAATTCAAATGAGAAATTATAGAGAAATTAATTATATTTACAATCAATAGTAGATAACATTAAAAACTACATTTTTGTGGTAGAATAGATGATGAAGAGCTGAGCTAGGACAAAAAATAACAATTAATGAGCATGTATAAGTATGTGAGAATGGATACTTACGATGCTTCATGTAAATGTGAGGCGGTATAGATCAGTTATATAAAGCAGCTATATAGCACACTCAGCGAAGTTTCTTTAACATATAAGTAGAACCATGGTGTTTGTGGGTTAGATTAGGTGACTCATCGTGGCTGTTGAGTATACTAGTGAATAATAACCCAATAAGATTCACATCCCTATGACTGAAATGCCTGAAATCGACAATGATATCTGAAAATTTCATGTTTCTTCTTGATGTCACTAGTTGATCGGTCGGGTGCCGGTTTTTTGAAAATTCCTCAGCCCGACCCGACTTTTTTTCTCAGACCCGGCACCCGGTCCGACCCGGAGCTTTTCACCCGAACCCAGGCACCGGGTCGGGTCGGGTGCCGGTTACCCGGCCCGGCTGCAGTACACTATGTCACAGTTGAAAGAAATTGATATTCGTTTTCCTGGGGAAAAAAGTCTACAAATATTCTAATTGTTTGCGTAAGATTCTCTGTTAAACATGTAAAAATAAGAGTTAGTTATTTGATAGTTGATTTCGTTACTCTAATGTTTTACATCCAAATAAGAATGTAAATAAATATATCATTCTGTGATATTACAGCAAACAATTTTTTTTTGATCGATTTGAATTAAATGAGACTTTCTTGCGAAAAACTTATTGGGCATTTTTTATGTTTCTATTTAGGTTATTGATTTATTTCGTTTGATTGTTATTGTCGTAATTGTTCTAATGAGCTTTGGCGTATCAAGACAAGCAATTAAATTTCCCAATGAAGATTGGAGTTGGCATTCCGTTAAAAACATATTTCTTGAGCCTTATTTTATGGTATTATCATGTTCTTGAAATTCGTCAATAAATCTTTGCAATCGTTATTTTTTCATTTTAATTAGATTTATGGTGAAGTATATGCCGAGGACATCGATCCACCATGTAATCGAACTGCCGATCCAAGTGCGCCAGGTTGTCAATTTGGACATTTTATAACTCCTATTACTATGACTGCATTTCTACTTGTTTGTAATATACTTTTGCTTTCAATGTTAATGGCTCAATTTACATCAACATTTATGCGGCTAAGTCGATTATCCGATCAGGTACAAATTTGCTTAGTTTTGTTTTTCCTTTATAAATTTCTATTCGACAGTACAACTGAGATTTAACTTTTATTGTTGATCAGGTATGGAAATTTCAGCGATATCATACAATTCTTCAATATGAACAAAAACCATTGTTAGCACCACCATTAATTATTTTTTCTCATATATTTCTTTTAATAAAAACAATTTATCGTATATGTCGTCATCGTAAACGAACATTCTACCGTGGTTTAAAGTTATTTTTAAGTGTAAAAGAAATCGAAAAATTGCGTGACTTCGAAGAAGAATGCGTACATGAATATCTTTTAGCTAAAGAAGATAAAGAAAAAAGTACAGTTGAAGAACGCATGTTAACAACATCGGACAGGTAAATTATTTTCGTTTGTCTTTTTTTCTCAACTCGAGATAATCTATTATAATTCAATTCAGAGTTTCACATATGTTAACACGCGTTGAAACACTCAAACGAAATAGTGTTCAACAAACCAGTTGTTTTCATAATTTCGATGAACGTTTACAACGCCTTGAAGATATGCAAACATCAACGATAGAATTACTTAATGTTCTCATACAAAAAGTACAAACATCATCTCATGATCAAGCAACATCCATTGAAAATATTTCAACAAAATCATACGATAAGGAAAACAAAGAAACAGACGATGATGAAATGTTAACTTTTACAGCGGTATCATCACCGGATGATATTAAAATGCCCACATCATCTTTATTATCATCGGGTGCTAGTCGTATGATTCATTCATCAAGTTTTTCAAATCGAAAAGGAACAAATCCTATTCCAATACCAGTTTCTGCTCCACCACAAATCGTGGTTGGTTCATATACAGAATTTCTATCCATGAAAAATATAGCTCCAACAACACTACCAACGAATGATGACCGTTTAGGTATCGGACCAACAGCACTCAGTGCATCATCATCATCGATCAATGTTATCGATGAAATAAACTATCCAGGCTTATATGAAGCTGAAGAAACCGAACATAATATATTTGGAAAGCTAATTAAAGACCGTTTTCGTAAATTATCAGAAGTAGTAGAAGATATTGAAAGAACATTACCAAGACATCAACAACGTCAAGATGAGAAACGTGATAAGTGTGATATGATTGATGATGATGAAACATTATCAACGATGGATTGGGTTGATACAACTGGGCGTGTTGCATATAATAGTGCACATGTATCACGTTTTGATGTTAGTCAAGATGAAGATGGGCAACATCTGATGGCAACAGGTAGGACGATTTCGTGAACTAAACAAAATGTTTGCTTAGAAAATGTTTCATAGTAAATATTAAAATTACTATTGTTCACTAATTTAAAATGTAAAAATACGACCTCTATGTGCTCATAACGAACTATGAAACATTAACCAAATGAATACAGAAAGAAAGAAAGAAATTTTTATTTATTTATTTATTTTTAGTTATTCAACATGTACATGAAACAGACAAGGGTTCAGTACCTGATGTATTAATTCACTCGCCCAACGATGAAAATACACAATCAATATAATCCCATAACATTGCTTATAATTTTATTTAAATTTATCAATGAAATATACATTCAGATACACGTCAGTCACGGTCAATCGTTATTTATGCTTTTTTTTGTTTGTCTTATGTTTATATGATATATATATATATATATATATAAATCGAATCTCGGTGCTTTAATCCAGTCAGCACAGTGAAGTGAAGAACAAAACTTAATTATTATTATTATTATTATTATTATTATTATTATGATCAATCAATCATCGATTCAGTAATATCGTAATTATTTTCACTCAACATTTTTCTTCTTCTTTTTATTGTTGTTATTAATGTTGTTAACAAATATAATGTAATATGTTCATCTGTATACAGAAACAACATTTTTTTTTCATTGTTCTTGTTTTACTATGTGCTTTGTAAGTGTATTGTTTGGAATTTTGCTACAAAAAAAACAAACGGCACTATAGAACGATGAATTTTTTGAAAATTTTCTTTTAAGTAAATTGACATTTTTTCTTGAAGCAATAAACTTTGTTGAATAACTTACAAGACTGTAAAAATATGTTCTCTTTATTGGTTGGCTTGGCTATGGATTTTTATGGGGATGGAAATATGTTTCTTCTTTCTGTGTGTATTCATTCGCCTAGCAACGACGTAAAAGACGGAAGAAAAAGAAAGTATCGCATACTTTATAAAAGCATTATGTCGACCATGTGCGTTTGTCCAAAGTTTACTTGGCTGTCTGCGCTGCGCGCTCTCCATTGTTTCTTTTCTTTTTTGAAAATTACAACTCAAATATTTATTGGAAGAGTTTTGTCATTCGTTGTTATATAGTGGTTGTTTGTTACTAACATTTTCTATTTTTTTCAGTGAATTTCAGAATGGCAAAATCCTCTTCAGCAGGTAATAAGCCTAAAAAAGAAGAAAATGTTTCTCTGACAATAGAAGAATTACTTGAAAAAGATCAACCTTACAAAGAACTCAACAGTTTACGTGACTCTACGCTGAATATCGCGCAGGATGAGACAGTTAAAAAAATACAAGGATCTCTTATTGGTCTTGCTATTGGTGATGCTCTTGGAGCATCAGTAGAATTCCGTCCTCATTCTTATTTGCAAGAAAACAAAGTAACAGATATGCAAGAAGGTGGAACATGGAGCTTAAAAGCAGGTCAATGGACCGATGATACATCCATGGCACTTTGTCTTGCAGCTAGTCTTATTGTTAAACGATGTTCTGATTGTTATGATCAATTCGAGAGATATAAACGATGGTTTAAAGATGGATATATGTCTTCAACTGGAATATGTTTTGACATAGGACAGGCTACACGTAAAGCAATTATCGAATTCGACAAACGGCAGCAAAAAGTCATGCGGGAATTAAAACTAGAAGAAAATACTCCGAGAGACGCTCAGACGAACGAAAGAGTAAAAGAGAAGTATTTACAAGTGTATCAAACTGTGGAACTTGGAGCATCAGATTCTGGTGGTAACGGCGCACTCATGCGTTTAGCACCGATACCTGCATTTTTTTCTAGAACATATACTGATGTCAAAAATTGCATTGACAAGGCAACAAGACTTACGCATGGTGATGAACGAGCGATCGATGCTTGTAAATTTTATGCTGGTCTTATTTGGCACGCCATACATGGTACATCGAAAACGACCCTTTTGTCTAAAGATTTTTATAAAGATACTTTGGATATAAAATTACATAAAGAGGTTGAGGCCATTGCTGAAGGTTCCTATAAAGATAAAAAGAAAGGATACGATGATGGTATTCGTGGAAAAGGTTTTGTATTAGATTCACTAGAAGCTGCGTTATGGGCTTTTTATAATGATAATGAATTCTTCGAGAAAGGTATTCTAGATGCTGTTAATTTGGGCGATGACACAGATACAACAGCGGCTATCTATGGAGAATTGGCTGGTGCTATGTATGGTATCGAAAAAATTCCTGAAAGGTGGAAGAAAGCATTGTTCCAAAAAGACTTTATCATGAATGTAGCAACAGCTTTATACGTGAAAGGAAAAGACAAGCAAGAATATAAGGCCCGTTCAGACTGGTCAGGTAATTATAATCTAAAGCTTTATTAAACAATTCCAAGTATTATAAGAAATTTTAGACCCGGATGCAGACGAAGATGGTGCACCAGGGGATAGGCCACAAGCAGACTCGCCTCACAAACAACATACCGATCAAACACAGAACAAAAAGGGTGCATCGAATGTGCAGCCATCTCCAGATCTATCTAATAAATCGAATCGTTCACACGATAACAATCAGGCAAACAATCAGAAGGGTTCATCGGATGAGAAGTCACATTCAGGTGCTTCTAATAAATCGAATCAATTGCGGGATAATGATCAGGCAAAAATACACGAAACTGAATCGACTGAGAAGTTATCTTCAGGTGTGTCTAATTCACCAAATATTAGTCGATCCGACAAAAAGGATAATACATTACTTCAGGTTCCTTCAGAAGCTCGGCGTGCATCATTGAATAACACTCAATCGAAGAAAAATGATCCAACGAATGGCCAAACTACAACTAAACTGATCACTGAATCTTAGAAGTGCTTCTCTTGTGTACCTTTGAACTCGGAACTATTTGATTTGTTTAAACGATTTTCGTCTAAAAACATATTCGTTCCAAGTTCTCGCATAAAAAGTTTTTCAAATGTAACGACTAATTATTGCCATCTTTTTTTTTCAATTAAACCAATTCAACTGTTTTTCGCTGCTCATAATACTTAAAATGAATTTCTCTCGAGCGTTTCTTCTTTTCAATGCTAAACTGTCATATTTTTTACATAAAACTAATCGACTTCGCCTTTTGTTTGTTGTCGTTTATGCTCGTAAACTTAATAGGTTATATGTAATTTATTAATCTTCGTTGTGCACATGAACTAAAATATTCTTTGAATAGTTTTACAAACTTTAAGACAGTTTATATCACTAAGAGCTAATTATTAATTTTTATTGAATTAACAGTATGACTAATAAGTTGATTAAAAGAATTAACAAGAACTAAATGAGATTATCAATACAGAAAAGATTTTTGGAAAAAGAAACAAACAAACAAACAAGAATGTGTCATGTATCAATGCATCACAAGTCCCATATTTCCTAAAAGAAAAGTCTTGACAGCATCACAAAATGCATAAAATTTAAAGTTAGTATCACAAATGGAATGTCATTTGAATTAAGCTGTTGGATCTCTTTTCATCAGTACAATGTCGGCTGCAACCATTTCTTTCACCAATTCCTGTTGTTAACAAAACAAAAGTTTGATATAAAAGATTCTTTGAAAACTTAATTTGGACATACTTTGAAAGTAATTTTTGGTTTCCAATTAAGTTTTTCTTCAGCTTTTTTCGGATTGCCAATTAAAAGGTCCTACAAACAAAGAAAAGTGAAGTTGCATCCGAAATCAAAATGTTCTTCTTCAAACTTACAACTTCCGTTGGTCGAAAGTATTTAGCATTAACTGTCACACGAACAATACCAGTTTCTTTTTCTTTGCCGATTTCATTAACACCTTCACCTTCCCATCTAATAAAATATTTTTCTTCAATCCATAAAAGCGTTTAAAAAATTATAATAAACTTACACAATCTCTTTATTGATTTCTCGAAATGCTGCTTCAACGAATTCGCGGACACTGTGTGTTTCTCCTTTGTATCATAAATTTCATGGTTAAATTCATTCGAACGAAAATTAAATATTTTACCTGTTGCGATAACCAAATCTTCAGGTGTATCTTGTTGTAACATTAACCACATCGCTTCAATATAATCGCGTGCATGTCCCCAATCACGTTTAGAATCTAACGAGCCAAGTTCAATCGATTGCTGTTGATTAAAAAAAATTTTTGCAACAGATCGAGTAATTTTTCTCGTTACGAAATTATCACCTGAACGAAAATAATTTATTAAAAATTAAACTCATTCCTATACATGCCTCGTCGTGGTGATTCATGGTTAAAAAGAATACCATTAACAGCAAACATATTATAGGCTTCACGATAATTTATTGTTATCCAATATGCATATAATTTTGCAGCAGCTAAAAACATGAGCATCAACTCTATTTGTTCTTTTTACGTGCGAAAAAAATCAAACCGTAAGGTGATCGAGGATAGAATGGTGTTGTTTCACTTTGAGGAATTTCTTGAACTTTTCCGTATAATTCAGATGTTGATGCTTGATAGAAACGTACATCTCGTTCAAGACCACATGTTCGAATAGCATCTAATATACGTAATGTGCCAACAGCATCAACATCAGCTGTATATTCACTTAGCTCAAACGAAATCTAAATTAAGGAATAAAAACCAAAACCAAAAATCTTTTCATTCTATTCACTAAAGAAAACAGCAGCAATTACTTTAACATGACTTTGTGCTCCCAAATTATAGACCTCCGTTGGTTTAATACTAGCAATTAATTTAACGAGTGATGAACTATCATTTAAATCACCATAATGTAATTTCATGGCTATTTTATTAAATAAATGCAACAATTATCTATCTATATATCTATATATATATATATACAACGATGGAGAACAAACCTCCTTCTTTGTGCGATGAAGGATTTTCATAGAGATGATTTATACGACCAGTATTAAAGCTACTGGAACGTCGAATAACACCATGAACCTATTCATGAATAGTAAAAAGTTATAATTCATTGTGAATAAAAATTCTAATAATATTTTGAAGGAAATAAACTCTTTACAGTATTCCAAGAAATTTCAGAATCTCGAGAAAATTCAAATATAGTTGTTTCTTCAACAGTCATAAGCTTTAAATGAAAATTTCTGTTGATAACATAGAACTGTAGAGTAACTAATTTATTCTGTTGCTTCATATCATACTATCGTACCGTTTATATGGAACTCACGCGTTTATATACGCAGTCAGGAGTCATAAGAGAAAGAGAATATTCAAGGCGAATACAGGCTGACCTTACTTACAAGCTGTGATAAACCTTCAATGTTTAAGAAAAATTTTCTTCTCTTTGTTTGCTTGAACAGAACCTCATGTATCGGTTTTCTTGCTTATTGTTGAGATTTTACATACTTTATTATTATAATTTGTCAAGCATGACTGAAAACAAGAGTACAGATAGTTCATCGTTTTCATTTTCATTTTCATTTTCATAAGCATACTTTGTTCTAGAGGAAAATTTAGTTTGTATACAGACTAATTTATGTTGAAAAATTGCTCTGAAAAACCCCCAAAGTTACGATAGTCGGACGAACTCCGGAAGGATAAGATTGTTTACGACATGTAGTCACAACAAAAAGAACGATGAAGGATATGAATAAAAAAAGATGACAAGGCCAGGCTAAATATCATGTTGGTATAATCTATTCAATCAAGCAAAAAGAGTAGAGTAATGCCCATTCGACTTCATCAAGAACGCTACAGACTTAATCAATTCTACATGTAGTAGAAAAGAACCTTATTCTACACTTTACACAAGGATACAAGTGTTGACTATCCCGTAGATATTTCATTTTCCAAGGGATCTCGGCGTCTATTCTCCTGTGTGATCAAAGAAAATTTTCACTTTCCATTTTGGAGTACTAACAAAATAAGGTTTTTGGTCATTATTTCTTACAAATCATTACTATTGAAATTTTTCATGCTAGTTATGATGAACAAAAAAAAAATTGCCCAATTGACTTTTAGAGTCATGACAGATATATATATATTTTTTTTTTCTTACTTGGTATCCTTTCTCAAGTAGAAATTCAGTCAGATAGCTTCCATCCTAAACGAAGATAAAATAAAGTAAATTTTATTTTGCTATTATTATTATTATTACCTGTCCTGTAATACCAGTAATTAAAGCAACATTACGTTTGGTGGAACTATTTGATGCTTTTTCCGAAGCTTCAGTCGACATATCTATAACGAAATCATATACCTATGTGATTACTGTGACTCTGTTTAATAATTGTAGTTGCATATATATGAATAGGACGGATAAATAAAATGCATACATATACAGTTTCTTTTAAGGTACTTCTAAAGGAGCATTGATGAGGAAGAAAAGAGAACGCAATATGCGTTTAGAAGAAGAAAAAAGAAACAAGGACAGCCACTTTATTATACAATCGAAGTTGGGATTAAAAACGAATATATATATAAATCAACCGATTCAAAAGAAAAAGAGCAAAGAGAAAATTTTTGCATAAAATATTGTGTCGAACATATCTGAAAAAAAGCATAGTCAGTGTAGTTACTAGTTTAGATTAATTATTCATATAGAGAAGCTGAAATGATTTTTACGTCTGTTTACAAACAAAAATGTTACTCTTCAATCTACTTGTTTCTTTTCTTAATATTTTTTGTACTTTTATCCGATGAAAGAATTTGAATCTATACAATAAGCCTCATTTTCTCGATGGGATGACTCATGAACCATTAACAAATTTTGACAGCCCGTACTTTACTTTACATCGTGCATTGTTACGATTGGTTAGACACTTTCTCCATTCCTCTCTATGTATAAAAATCAAAACGATGTCGTTTTGAATGAGTGTGAACGCGTCCATATTTTTAATCAGCTTTTTTTCTATTCCTTTCCGCTGATGTTAGTCAGTTTTGTATTACTAAGAAAAAAAAAACTTTAAACTTTTGCGTTCTAGAAATGAGTGCGAATGACTTGTCCCAGCCGACATCGACAAAAGAAGATGGACTCGGGCAACTTAGTATGCATAAATGAAGTTGAAAAATTTTAATTCCATCTTATCCTATTTCTATAGGTCGATCAGTAGAAAATGCAAAGAGAATTAAGAGTGTTCAAGACAAATTTGTTAATAGCCAAGTGAGATTCTTTTTCGAAGCTTTATCGCGTTTAAGATTTTAATTTACTCAAAAATAATTTTAGTCTTTAATGAAAGAAGGTCGAGCACTTGTCGGTGAAGGAATTCTAATGAAAGTTTGCCGAAAAAAACCAAAACAACGAGCTTTTTTTCTATTCAATGATATACTTGTATATGGGCGTGTGGTTATCAATGGTCGTAAGGTGATAAAAAATATTATTAATCGAAAAATATCAATCATCATTAATGTGATTAAACTATTTAGTATTCACAACAGAAAATTATTCCACTAAATGAAGTTCAAATTAGTAGTCCAATTGATTCGGAAGGTAGAAAAATAATACGATATTTTCTTTACTTAATTAATACTCATTTAGAAAATCCATATTCCTGGTTAATATGTAGTCCAAAGAAATCTTTCATTGTTCATGCTAATTCTGATCGAGAACGACAAGAATGGATATCACATCTTGAACGCTGTATTCAACATGCTTCAGGTAAAAAATAGATAATCATTTTCTAGATTATCATTGTTCTTATATATTGATTGATATTAAGGTGGTAATAATGCACAAAATAATACAGTAGCCGCACACTGGGTACCAGATGATAAAGCAGATACATGTATGCATTGTCGTACAACGAAATTTTCTACATATAATCGTAAACATGTATGATAATGAATAGTTATTGAAATATATTGATTTTCATTTAATTATGGTACTAGCATTGTCGAAATTGCGGTTTTATTGTATGTGAAGGGTGTTCGAAAAAACGTTTTCTCTTACCTCATTTGGATTCAAAACGAGTTCGTGTGTGTGATACGTGTTTCATCAAATTAAATATGAATAATATGAATGGTGAATAGGCATTAAAAAGAAAAACCTTGATTTGAATTTATTCTTTTGCTCTATTTTACTCAATAGAACCCCGTCAAAATACACGTGACAGTAGTGATAGTGATGGTGAAGAAAATCATGCACATTATTCACCAGTACCTGTACGTATATCAATTAATCAATTATTTTCAAATTATTTTATATTTTACTTCGTTTTAGGCTACATTTTACCAAAATATTGAAAATTTCTAAGAATATTTTTCTTTTTTGTATGATATCTAACAGGCAGCAAGTTCAGATATGATACTAACACATAAATAGACTTGCATTAATTTATCGTTTCATGTTACCAGTTTTTCTGCTAAATTTGAATGAAATTTCGCATCAACTTTTTTTTCTCGTTGTTATTAATGGACACAGAGAAAAAACAATATCGTGCATATTTTCAAGAATGATCTGTTTTTTTTTTTTGAAATAAATCGTGACTATTATTTTTTTGTTGTTGCCTTCTAATAAATAATTTATGGTATGAACTGGGCGGCGATTCGACCTATATTTCCTATATTTTATCAAAGAAAGTAGAAAATTTTCAAAAACCTCTAAATTTTGCTATTGCTTTTAGACGAAAAAAAGCTTTTATGTGTATAATCATGTGTTTTGGACAAATTCTTGTATTATAGTGACATTTGTTTTAAATAGTATTTTTCCTTTCGCCTATTTAGTGGGCTGATTGGGAAATTGCTTAATACTAAGCACAAAATACAAAAT